TGATGATATAGCTGGAATAATGTTTGAAGATGTATGTTTTATTAGATTCTAGATTATTTATCATGTATTTATAAATAGAATAATATATTTATTATCAACTTTGTTTTCAATATTTCTTTTAAATAACTCCCAGTTTATATTGTATTTAATCACAAGAATCTTGTTGTATATGACCATAATATATTCAGATTGGCCTGGAATATCCCTATCTTTCTATTATAAAACGAAGAATCTTGCTGTGGTACAATATACACAACTCTTTTGAAAATTTCAACCAGCAATGTATTTGATTTGAATGGTGGATATATTTTTAGAAGATTAAATCCTCTCCAAGCAGTCAGAAATGGACTATTAGTGATTTTCATAAGGAAACTTGGTGTTTTTTCAATGAAGTTCACCTTTGTTGGAATCAACTCTTTTCAAATTTGTCAATTTAAAAATGGTCACTGATAATTTCAATGGTGAAAAATGTTTTTTTTTTTTTTGCACTTTCTGATTTCACTGTCTCTAGAAGTGTCAATATTAGAGGTGCTAGTTGTATTTTTGAAGCTGTCTCTGCCCTCCCTGTCACCCTGTAGTCTAGATGTTGTCTGCTGATCACCGATAGATAGCTTGTAATCACCTGTATACAGTCACCAACAATTCTACAAACAGGTATTATAACAGATTGACAAACTAGGTCCTACCCTGTTCTTCAGACATGATGTCTTATTATGATGTTTGAAGGAACTGGGTGGGACCAGATTTGTTGGCTCATTTTATATATAAACCTTTATTCTTGAAATATCAGGTATATTGAGAAACAAACTTATGTAAAAGAAATTTGAACTACATGTCAGATTTGAATCCTGAACAGTGTTATTTTTATAAATAAGTTTATTTCAGAATAAAGATTTTGATTTCTCTAGAATAAAAGTCTGAGTTCTAATTCAGGCTGTACAACCATGAGTAAAAACAAGACAAAAATGTCTGTCCTCTCATTTCTTTAAAATTATTCATCTAGACCCCTACTAATAAATCTACCCCACCCCTATATTACTGACTAAAAGCATGTTGGTATTTATAAACTTTACTTCAGAGAGACAGAATACTTGGTAAAATAGAATCAACCATTAGATCATATTCACCATACTGTAGTGGGGACAGGATTCCCATCTCCACATCTATAAAAAAAAAAAAACTTGACCAAGGATAATATTTTATATTTCAGTCATCTGATTGGACGATCAATAAAAATTATTTCCAAATTTAGCTTCATTCAATAATTTGATAACAGTTTTGATTATAATGTTAATTTTATCTGCAGCACATTTCAGATGGTACAATAAACCAGGGGCATGCTACAGGCTGTGCACGATCAAGATCAATTTACAGATGGAAATCGAAAAAGAGCAGGCTATTGTCGTGTCCTGACAAAATTTCCCTCCTTGCACACTGCATGGTGTTACCAATCTTCATTAGCCCAATCAGGTGCAGAAAAGTAGGATGTAAAACTCCATTCATTTCATTTTCAGATAGCTCTATTTTTCCTGTATTTCAGATAGCTCTATTTTTCCTGTATTTTCAGATAGCTCTATTTTTCCTGTATTTTCAGATAGCTCTATTTTTCCTGTATTTCAGATAGCTCTATTTTTCCTGTATTTTCAGATAGCTCTATTTTTCCTGTATTTTCAGATAGCTCTATTTTTCCTGTATTTCAGATAGCTCTATTTTTCCTGTATTTTCAGATAGCTCTATTTTTCCTGTATTTCAGATAGCTCTATTTTTCCTGTATTTTCAGATAGCTCTATTTTTCCTGTATTTTCAGATAGCTCTATTTTTCCTGTATTTCAGATAGCTCTATTTTTCCTGTATTTTCAGATAGCTCTATTTTTCCTGTATTTCAGATAGCTAAAGAAGAATTTATTAATTATTATTGTGGTGTTAGTGCCTCGGTAGATAATGATGTCTATTTCAGTCTCATGATGACTAATGCATATGGATTATCTTCGGAATAATAATACTCCTGTTTTTAACTCTGTCTTCACAAGTTGGTTAGTAGGCTATACTAAATATCTGATTCTACTGATTAATTTGAATATCAGTTGAGAAATAGTACTGATAGTCTTCGAATGTTTTTGAATATACAAACGTAATCTTCAGTAAAACATATTCTGTTTGAATTGAAATAGTTTTCATGTTGAAATCCATAGTCTCTACTTGTGACCTAGGCCAGTGCTTCTATAGAGTATCTTCTATAACACCTATAACAAACATTATCACTTTAAGATTTTTCCATAGGGAAAAATTTCAGTCAGTATTCACCTTTTTGAGATATTTTGAGAGAGAAATGTAACCTGGTAAATATTTATATTTCTAACAACACAATGTTATTTTAACACTATCAGTACTGTTATAAAATCTCTAAACAGAATTAAGATCTATATTTGAATCAAACTGATTTTATATCAAGTCCCCTGTTTAATATATTTGTGTACATACAAGAAAGTCCCAAAACAATCAAAAGGAAAATGGTTTGTAAACTAAAAACTTAACCAGATCTGTAATGTATCTTTGACAAACCAAAATCAAAAACCATTCATAAAACTTATAACTGCTGATCTATTGAGTCATTTATATATCAAAAACTTGTTAAATTTCATTTATCATATATGATGTTGTTTTTATTCTATGATGTATAATGTTGTTGTAATGTCAAATACAAATAGTATATTAACAGAATTGTCTTGCTTGTATGGATTTGAATTGAAGTGTATAGTGTCAACCATCTATATCTACCAGTCAACCTATCGGAACTTGCTTAATGTCATGATTTCATTTATCATATGTGATGTTGTTTTTATTTTTATTATATAATTTATCTGCTGTTTTAAATCGCAAAAGAATATTATGTTAAATAAACATGGATACAATGTAAAATAGTCTTATAGACTAGTAATGATATTTCTGTTTATCAGACGCCAGGTCCAATTCGAAACATACACACGACTTATCTACTTTATTAGGTAGTGTAAGTAATGAATGATAATCTACAGATTCTATATTGTGTTATTATAACTTATACTATCTTAGAAAATAAAATAGATGGCTTGTAATGATAATCAAGCCTTGATGATCAGATATAATTTTGTTGGACTAGAAATATTGACTATCAGTTTATTTAAAGAGAAACATTGTATAATATGAATATTTTCTTTATCTACTATATAGATATTGTTTTCTATAGTAATATATTGTCTTTATGTATCTATTATCTATTTATAACCTACGCTTTATATTTTACAATTAAATTTTAAATTCTTCAGACAAGTTGTTTTCAATAAATTAATAGTGGTCTAATCCAACCTTCTTATTAAATGATGGCACAATGAACCTGCTACAGGCTACAGTGCTACAGGATACAGTGCCCCAGCAAAATTTCCCTCATGGCACACTGCCCTTCACAAGCTTATACAGGTGCAGAAAAGTAGGATGTAAAACTATTAAACTCCATTTATTTTCTGCTGAAATTGTCTGAAATGAATGTCTAAGAGACACTGAATGAAGTTGACAAGAATTCTTAGAATGAGTACGAATCAAGTGCTCCAATGTTTTAAATTTCAATGGTAAAACAGCTACCACAGTTATAACTATCAGTCCAACAGAGGGTTGGGTATTTTGGCTGAGTAGATTAAATGTTAAATTCATCTATAAACACTTTATAGTTCACCCATTTATTCAGGCTCATACCAAGCACCATATCATAAGAATATGAAAGTTGGTATGTCAAGGTATATAATATAAGGAATAATAGTAAGTATCAGAAAGCCAATGAATGTCAATAGTTTATCATTAAGGCACTGCAGCAGCATTATTTCCCTCATTGTTCACAGCATGGCCTCAATATGGTACAACAGAGTTAAATGAAGCTGTTAGACTGGTAGGAAATTTAAAACAGGGTTCTCTATATATGTTTTTATTTTTAAAGAGTAAGTATAATAAAGTTGTATGTATACAGATAGTAGCACTATAACAAGTTATAATAAATACACTATACTACTACTCCTATAGTCTATTTACAATCATAGGTTCACAGGGCATGTTTCTATAGTAACAGTACAGTGATAATAATCGTTAGATCTGACTAAAGATGATTCTGTTAATTAAAATCTCATCTAAATACATGTAATGGCAAAACTGAGAGTAAATGTTGTATAGTAGTGGAGAAGAAACCCACTGTAATAATCATTGTACTGTTGCTATAGGAACATGAGGGTAGAATAGATTTATTAAAACATTACTTTATTACTTCTTTTACATCTGCATTATAATCTAACAACTTTTCTTCCTCAGCTATATTCTAAGGGCTCAGTGAGTTAGATACTTGCTCGCTAATCTGAAAGTCCCGGTTCCATCCCTGCATAGGTAAAGATAATACCTTCGGATTTTTAAACCTGGTTTCCCCGTCAGTGATGCAGGTAAGAGGGTCTGACATGGAAAAAGCGTCTAGTCATTCGGATGGGACAATAAACCGAGGCCCTGTGTGCTACAGGCTGTGCACGTTAAAGATCCCTCGACAGTTGAAAATAGAAAAATACTAGGCTAACAAGATACAGGTTCTCTGACATGCTTCAATTGGATAAATATAACCTCATCATTAGAACGAGACTGTGGTAGAAAACTTGTTAGATTACAATGGGGACAATAAATATCAGGAAAAGAGAAAAGTAATTGTAATCTTATTTCTAATAGTTTGTATATTCTGGTATGGAACCTTACTATATCATTATCAAAACTATTCATATTTATGTTGCTCAAACTTAATGATACTATAGTCTGAGAAAAATAACAATTTTTTTGACTTTCTAATATTATTTCTATGAGAATTGGAATATCAGCCTCAAAATAGTACTGATAGTCTTAGATTGTCTTTGTGTTAATAAAAATATAAACATTATGTCTTCATAATTTGTTTTTATAGAGGACAGTTTTTCAGCCCAAATGTGACTTTTTTGGGTTGAAATTTGTAGGAGAGAAATGTGTTTTGTTTCAATGTAAACTTACAAAAGATTATATTTTTATCAACACAAAGTCATTTTAAGACTATCAGTACTATTTTGAGGCTGTTATTCCAATTCTCAAAAAAAATATAGAAAAAATTCAAAAAATTTGTTGGATTTGCTCAGACAAATAATAATAATAATGTGTTTTAATCTGGTTGGTTTGTTGTTCTATATTAATTTAATATTTTGTTATTGAATAAGTTTTTAACGAAGGTATTGAATTCCCAGGTTTATAAAATACTGAGCAATGAAATCTAACAGTTGTTTCTAATGAGTTGTCTCGTGTTCTGAACTTTGTTCTGATTCTGTTTCTCTCTCTGACTCACTGTCTTCAACTCGTACAATATTCATATAAAATAACTTGGCCTCTTCGTTACGTAGATTCTTCAGTTTATATACAGCACCTGTCATTATAATATATTTTACATTGAAAACAATAGAATGAATGGAGTTTTACATCCTATTATTCTGCATATTATTGGTCTGATGAAGACTAGCAAGTGTATATAACTCACTGAGCCACTGTGGCTCCCTCTTCATTGGAATATTTCAATATATCTTATAAATTTTGTCTCATTCAAACCAAACTTATTCTATGTCATAGAAATACTGGTAAAAATGATTGCAAAATTCTAACACTTGTTAATACAGGCCCTTGTTTTAGTGTTTGTCCAATCAGACTGTGGGATATTTAGTCTGAAGTAAAAGAATATTACCTGAAGGTACGAAGAAAACATCACCGGTTTCTAAAACTGAAACTTTTCTATGTATAGTAACAGCTACTTTACCAAATATAACTCTTACAACCTAAAATATAATATAATAATATCGCTACTTTACCAAATATAACTCTTACAACCTAAAATATAATATAATAATAACATCACATAATAAATATAACTCTTACAACCTAAAATATAATATAATAATAACATCACATAATAAATATAACTCTTACAACCTAAAATATAATATAATAATAACATCACATAATAAATATAACTCTTACAACCTAAAATATAATATAATAATAACATCACATAATAAATATAACTCTTACAACCTAAAATATAATATAATAATAACATCACATAATAAATATAACTCTTACAACCTAAAATATAATATAATAATAACATCACATAATAAATATAACTCTTACAACCTAAAATATAATATAATAATAACATCACATAATAAATATAACTCTTACAACCTAAAATATAATATAATAATAACATCACATAATAAATATAACTCTTACAACCTAAAATATAATATAATAATAACATCACATAATAAATATAACTCTTACAACCTAAAATATAATATAATAATAACATCACATAATAAATATTACTCTGACAACCTAAAATATAATATAATAATAACATAACATAATAAATATATTAATGGTTGAAGTTATATTTGTTTGCTGGACAATATTACTAGTCATATATTGATAACTATATATTGTAAGATGACATATACTTGGTCTAATACGGATATTTCATGGTACTAGGCTAACATATAACTTGACATCATCCTAATGCATGAAAATATCAATTGAAGAAGTTCTATTTATAACTCTAATATATGTATATAATATCATAGTATGAATGGTAATAGCTTTTTTTCTAATATAGCTACGTCCCGCTTGAACGTTCGTCAAATTAACCTTTTGACCTAACCTGATTGCCATCACAAAATGCCAGCGCTGGAGAGGATAGAAATATTATTGGTTAAAGCAGACGTCATCGTGTTCAAAAGGTTAATTTAACAAATGTTCAAGAGGGCTGTCTTTAGACCCTAACTGAAGTGGCTATATCAAAAAAAAAATGGAAACAAAAGTTTGGTCTAATTTTAAACCACTAAGCACTATCATTGAAAGTTCTTCACAAAATACAAAAAATAATCTCCACCTACCAGCGTATTATTGACTACTTTCTGTAGCGGTTTTTCTCCATGTGGCCTCAGATTCAATTCTCCTGACGTAAATGATTTCTGGTTTAACGACTGACACATGACGTACGGGTCCGAGGCTTTCGGGACATTACCACTAGGACCGATAAATACATAACTATCTTGTTGTGAAATACACGCTGTAATAGATAAATACATAACTATCTTGTTGTGAAATACACACTGTAAAAGATAAATACATAACTATCTTGTTGTGAGATACACACTGTAATAGATAAATACATAACTATCTTGTTGTGAGATACACACTGTAAAAGATAAATATATAACTATCTTGTTGTGAGATACATGCTGTAAAAGATAAATACATAACTATCTTGTTGTGAGATACATGCTGTAATAGATAAATATATAACTATCTTGTTGTGAGATACACGCTGTAAAAGATAAATACATAACTATCTTGTTGTGAGATACACGCTGTAAAAGATAAATACATAACTATCTTGTTGTGAGATACACGCTGTAAAAGATAAATATATAACTATCTTGTTGTGAGATACATGCTGTAATAGATAAATATATAACTATCTTGTTGTGAGATACACGCTGTAAAAGATAAATACATAACTATCTTGTTGTGAGATACATGCTGTAATAGATAAATATATAACTATCTTGTTGTGAGATACATGCTGTAAAAGATAAATACATAACTATCTTGTTGTGAGATACATGCTGTAATAGATAAATATATAACTATCTTGTTGTGAGATACACGCTGTAATAGATAAATATATAACTATCTTGTTGTGAGATACACGCTGTAATAGATAAATATATAACTATCTTGTTGTGAGATACATGCTGTAAAAGATAAATATATAACTATCTTGTTGTGAAATACATGCTGTAATAGATAAATATATAACTATCTTGTTGTGAGATACACGCTGTAATAGATAAATACATAACTATCTTGTTGTGAGATACACGCTGTAATAGATAAATATATAACTATCTTGTTGTGAGATACATGCTATAAAAGAATTATAGAGATTAGTCATGTAGAATGAAATGAAACTGATATTGAGATACAAGTGTACAACAATTTTCCAGTGCAAATCAACAAAGTTAAGTGTTGATACAAGATTCTGAATGTATGGTATTGTATTTACTTCTGTTTTCTACTGTATTGAAAATTCCACACCATATTGGTTATTTTCTAGTATTTTACCAGCATTTCAGTTGTAATGGATCTTTTTAAGCCAACTATTCCAAGAGATTTTCTACATTCTCTGGACCCAGAAGAAAGAGTTTCTTGACATCCAAAACAAGCTATCCTGATGAGGTTTGCGTATCCAAAACATTTAAAAACAGTAAACTTACTCATGAGAACCTCTGTTTGAGTTTCAGGGTGAACTATGGGTAATTGTGTACCAAATGTTAAATTAAGATCGTCAGGTATTGATCCATGAATTGATAAATTACGACCATATCTCTGTCTCTTCTGTTTCGCTTTCTTCACTGGAAAATTTTTCAAAACAACAATTTAATAACTATACAATTCGTTTTTTTTTTTTCGTGCAGTACAAAACATAACCCACTGGGATTAAGAAAACACGCAAAACCATGCGGTGTGGAATGAAGGAAATTTGGTAATGAACAAGGGCATTAGCCGACTATTTTTTAATTTCTAATTGTCCTGGGATCTCTCACGTACACTGTCTATTGCTCAAAAACCTTCGTTTCATGTTCATCCCAAAGACAGCCCCTTAGATCTGCATCACTGACAGGGGAAACCTATAAAATATATATTATCTTAATTTATTTCAGAATTGAACCCTAGACCTTCAGGTTAACCTGTCACCATCTATCTCACTAAATATCAAATAAATATAAAAGATAACAAACCTCTAATTCGTTTCAGTCTGGCTTTTCTTAATTTCTCACTGTGAGCTAAATATTTAGCTTCATTTGAAGGTTGAATAGCCAGAACATGTACTCCTGTAAAATAGAAATATAATATACCGTTTAAAATAGGCTTCTGAAATCTGAGAGAATTTAATTAATCGCTGGTTTAGTTAATGACTTAAAAACATTCAGTTGACCTGGTTGTACTTTCTGACAAATATTGTCAACATGATCAGTTAATTTCCACCAGTTAGTTCAGTTTTTTTCAGCTATTGCACAAATTCACAACCTTCCTTTTTATCCAATTTTCATAAGACACGTTTCAAAACCCTCTGACTACACTGAATAGACGTTATCTCTTGTTTAACCCAGGTTTATGTGATATCTTGTTTAACCCAGGTTTATGTGATATCTTGTTTAACCCAGGTTTATGTGATATCTTGTTTAACCCAGGTTTATGTTATCTCTTGTTTAACCCAGGTTTATGTTATCTCTTGTTTAACCCAGGTTTATGTTATCTTTTGTTTAACCCAGGTTTATGTGATATCTTGTTTAACCCAGGTTTATGTGATATCTTGTTTAACCCAGGTTTATGTGATATCTTGTTTAACCCAGGTTTATGTTATCTCTTGTTTAACCCAGGTTTATGTGATATCTTGTTTAACCCAGGTTTATGTGATATCTTGTTTAACCCAGGTTTATGTGATATCTTGTTTAACCCAGGTTTTTGTTATCTCTTGTTTAACCCAGGTTTATGTGATATCTGTATAAATCTGTAACTATTAGTGCTATTCTTTATATAACCCATTAAACACTTAATACAACTTCTCCTCTTCCATCAATCAGTTTATTTAACTCAAGGAATCAAGATAATTCAAACGATTGAAGATTTTTTTAATTTCAAAGTTCACAGAAAAAATGATCTGAACTAAAAAGATTTTCCACTTACCTGATTTTCTTCTTCTGTCATATATAATTCTCTCATTCTTATAACCTTCTAACCTTTGAACTCTGACCCGGGATGACCTTCGTAATCCGTCAGGGGCTGGTGCAGGATAAACTTTAATAGACAAACACAAAATAACTGAACTATTTATAGAGTTATTAATGCAATGTCATACATTTAGTTCTGAACATATTCTAAAGATATTTACAGGAATAAACTATTTCATAAATTTGTCTGTATTTTGCTGTGTAGATATTCGTAAAGGAGTTGACCAAAGCCCAGTTGCCGATCGATGAACTTGTTCGGCCCTGTCTGTCTAAAGCCCAACGCAAGGACAGATTTTTCTTCCTGAAACATTGTTTAGCGAGAATAGTTCTACATATCATTATTAGATGAAAATGAAATAAAATGAATGGAGTTTTACATCCTACTTTTCTGTACCTTGTGGTCTAATGAAGACGGAAATCATTAAGTAATGGAGCCACAGGATTTTGAAGGTAGACTCACAACACCAGGAATATCAACATCACTGAGTGCAGCTCAATAAACCTTTTAGATAATGGGAATGTCAATCTTTGTCAAATTTAACTTACTGATTCGTTTTTTCTCAGGTTTTTTAAAGAGAACTGGAGAATGGTGATCGTTAGTGATATCGTGATAATGGTGGATAGATTCCGTCAAATCACTAAAAGTTTCACCATTTTTCACAGCTTCATTTTCTAGAATTAGTAATTAAAATGGAGTTGTATATTTTATATTTGTTACTTACTGGACCTTCATACCAACATTTCATTGGAAAAATAAAATATACAATACCTTTGAGAGTGTACGTTCAGGAGAAGAACAAAAGAAAGAGAATAATGACAGACATTATGAAGAAGATAATCTAACATACAGTAGAAAGAGAAGACTATTAAACTACGTAGTAAATAGAATAGAAATATATACCTACCTAACAAAACATTAGTATTAGTATATAACCTAGAGACAAAATTTATACATGACACACGCATGCAAATATTTCTAAACCCTGTTATAAACCACTCTTGTCAGTGATGCAAGAAAAGGTTGCTATTGTAGTCAAGGTATAAGAAACAGTTCGCACTATCCTGACATTGTGAATTAAGAAAGTGTTTATCACTAACCAGAATTATCACCTTCTGCTATCGTAACCCGTCGAGGATTTCGTTTCTGGGCTGAAAGACTACCAGGTTGGATTAGACATGGAGTTAGTTCCCTTGGTGTATTATCGTTACTAATAATAGTAGGGGGAGACATAGCGCCATCTATAATCGGTAGTGACAGGGAATTAGTCTCTATGATAGATGGTTGTTTTAATTCTACAGAGAAAGCAGAAGACAGAATAAATAAAAGGTGACTAAAAATAAGTAAGTTATAGACTGTTGACTACATTAGGTTAGGCATAGAAGCACAAGCACAAGCTTTAAGCACAAAAAAAAGATAAAAGCTTCTAAACGTAAACCAACAATTAGCAGTACATAGAAATAATATACAGTTTAAAATAGATTAATATAATGTATAACATAGCGGGAAACACTGATTAGAATTATAGAAGTTCACATAGAGTCATCAGATAAACTTCTGTCACATATATTGAATCATTTTGAAGATATGTTAATACACTCCTAGCTGTGTTGACAGACATTATATCAACGCATGTCAAGTAAGACCTGTTCTGTTTTGTTTTCTCACAATTTGTCCTTGTTATCAAGGGACAGATCTTACATGACATGCTTTGATTGGCTAACATATTAACATCATTAGAATGAGACTGTGGTAGAAAACTTGTTAGATTACAATGGAGACGCAAAAATATCAGAAAAGAACCAAAAATCATAATCTAATCTAAAAGATTTCTAAGTTAAAATGATTACCTTGATCCTGCGTCTGCTCCACCAAATGTGATTTTTCTACAACTGTACGATGAAGAGTTCGAACCAATGATTTACTATTCAATGATCTAACTCGACGAGTACGGAATGATATACCACTTTTAGGAGTGTCTATAGGGATTCTGTTTATATTACCATCTATTCTAGTTGATTCTGCTATATTAACTAAAAATAAACAAGATGGAATTATATAGAACTATTTATGGAAAGACAAAAAAAACATCAAAAGCTAAGTAGACTTTTTGAAAGGACAGCAATTTGACAACCGGTACTCTGAAATTTATCCTGAATATACATTATTTGTCATTTGACTGTCGTCTGAGATGCCAAGTTGATAAAGTAATCTAAGGTTTACATGCTATCTTCACAAATTTTACTCAAAGCATGTGAACTTTGACCTTTCACCTAAAAAATATACCCAACATACCTGGCAGAGGGTCTTCATCTTCAAGGTCAAGGCCATCATGAATGATGACCTCATCGCTGGATGATGATTGGACGTTACCAGCAACAGAATCTTGTTCCACATTACTGATACTATGGTCGTCAATGACAACCGTTCGACGTCTGTTTTTAGGTTTAACAATAGAATCATCAGATACGTCTGCTAGATTTTCCCGCTCATCTGATCTTCGCTTTAATTTCTCAAAAACTTCAGTCTCGTTTGACTGTCTTTTACGATTGTCTGATATTTGTCTCTCGTGAAGATCTACAGGAGTTGTATTAGTTTCTATTTCTTTGGTTGTTTTAGGATTTTTAACAGAACTGCCACTTGGTAAACCTGATGTTGAAGTATTTTTATCAACTGTTTTATGTAAAGTTTTGTTCGTATCTGATTGTTCTTCCGCTGAACTTGTGCCCGACACAATATCAAGTTTAGCCTTGGTCATTCCAGACTTATTTAAAGATTTATTACGCAATGATCCTCTGCTTTTATTTTGCTGCGAGAGATTCGCTTGATTGACTACAATAGAAACATTGCCCAGTCCATTTTCACACATTTCAACATTGTCTTCCAGATTATTTATTGTTTTATTTTTAGAAGAATTTAAAGTAGAGTTACGATTCTTACTACTACGTCGCGATTTGTTCACTGATCTATTATTAGTATCGTCACTTGAATTTTTCTCTATATCAGATCCAGTGGTTGTCTCCCCTGTTTCTAAGTTAGTTTTATCAACTATTGATTTATTTCGCGATACAGAGCTACGCTTTCCAGCATTTCGCATAATTCTGCTTTTTTCATTGGTTTCAATCTCAATATTTTCATCATTTTGAGAGTTATTCCCCTTGACACTGGTATCTAAGGGATGATCTTCATTAACTGTTGCTAAAATTGATTTCTGACTCCTTCTTTCTCTAAAATAATCCAAAAAAAATAAAATTAAAATAAATTTCATTGTCACTGCTGGTTTATACTGAGCTACAGAATTATTTAGCTTGTTTGTTTCTATTTAACTAAATTTCCTTTTTTTGGCATTTTTATCAAATATTTTACTTTCTCTAAAATAGTTAACAAAAAAAAAAAAAAAAAAATAAAAATCTGTTAGTCACGGATACCATTCATTACAGCTACAGAATAATTTTATATTTTATTTAACTATTGAGGCAATATTTTACTATTTTTGTTATTTTCAAATCTTAAGTTTGTTTATCATCAAATTAGAAGATAGATGAGAAATATATTTTAATACTAACCTTTTAGATAAATTCATATTTTCATGGACTGATTCTTCCATACCAGAATAGGACAATCTAAAACAGATAATATATTCATTGACTTTTACATCCATCTGTTCTGCTACTTAAAGTTTAGCTTCCTTACATTAGATTGTCCCCTGAACCTGATTGAGTTTAATAAAGCAACAAGCAATAGAAGGTATTGTACAATGAGGGACATTGTGGTAGTATTAGCTAACTCTTATTTATTTCTGAGATGTCAAGGGATGTTTAATATGCAGAGCACACAGGTCCAAAGTTTACCAAATTTAGACAAATCCAAGGAGATTGGTAACACCATGCAGTAAGCAATTATGGAAATTTCTGTAAAAGGTACTGAAACTTGCCTGCACCAAACCAAAACCTTAATATATCTTCATTCAAAAATTCATAACATAAGAAATAAGTGAAAATACCAACCTTTTCTTGGTTTTAAAAGTCACAGGTGAATTCTTCTGGTTGTCATTATTTTTAGTAATAGAACCAGTTATCCCCCCTGCTACGTGAATTCCTGATATACTGTCTTCTCTCCGATCTTCTTTCTGATCTTCTCTATGATCTTCTTTCCGATCTTCTGGAACAGGGATCTCTTGTTCTCTATTGTCAGCTAGATCATCTTGATCGACTTCTGTCGATTCTGTTACAGCCTCATCCACATCGACAATATCTGAACCATTTTCTTCCACATGTGAGTCATTATTGATAGATTTTTTAAGAGATTTATTTTGAGATGAATTTCTTCTGGAGGATTTATTCAGCATGGATTCGTTTCTAGATTTGCCAATTTCATTTTGGGTTGAATTTCTACCTGTAGATTTATTCAAGATGGATTTGTTTCTAGATTTGTCAATTTCATTTTGGGTTGAATTTCTACCTGAAGAGTTATTCAGCATGGATTCATTTCTTGATTTATTACTAGATCTATTCTGTCGGTTTGATTTGTTTAGATTAAGACTGATGTTCTCGTGTGTTGTTGAAGTTTGGTTAATGATTTTAGTAACAACGACATCGTTATTGTCCGTGAATCGTATCTCCCCCTCCTCACAAGTCTCGTCCTGATCGGGAAGAAATGACACCCTGGCTGTTAGTGTCTGACTCAATTTACTGGGGTCATACTGACTCATTGATCGTATTCTTGTCTGAAATAAGAAAATTAAAATGGGTTTTATAATCTTCTGTTTTTAAAGTCTATTCTAAAAGGCCCAATTGTTGCACGGGGTTTGTAAGGTATACTTACTCTTCTAGACACCTGATACCACTTTTCATAATGAAATACTTATTCACTTATGATTGATATACTTCCTCATGTGAAAAGTTCATTAGCTGCTACCAATATTTCACCAATATGTTGTTTCTGATTTCGGGTTTTGTTTTGCTGTTCGGATCGTTAGTACTTGGTCTATTTACTTTAGTCAAACATCAATTGTATTTTAAAGAATGAACCTTGTAATTTCTTCCTGAAGACAATTTTCTGTTAAGCCTAAGTCCCCAACATTGCCTTATTAATCTGACAAATACACATTTCCTTACCTTATCTCCTTCTTCTCCACTACCATCATCTTTCAATGAACAACTAAATTCATGGACGTCTTCTGCTACGTTTGTAAGATATTCTGATTTATTTCTCCATAGATATTCTCTACGTTCTTCTACATCAATAGTTTCCCAATCTCCATCTTGTGAACCCTCCAAATCTTCTTTGTTTTCTATTTCTTCTGATTCTATGATTTCTTCCGAATCTACTATTTCCACTTCATCGATTTTATTACTTTTATTTTCTGATAATTCTTCATCATTTTCAGTCTCAGAAATTTCTTGCTCTGTTTCTGTTGATGATTTGACCTGGGATTCAGACGTGTTTTCACACTGAAAACTATTTGTCTTGCTAAGTTTAGCACCGTGTGATTTATTCAATGTCGCGTTCCCCAGAGAATTTATACTAGAACGGTTTCGAGAGCTACGTCGTCTACTTACATCTCTATTTATAGAATTATTGTCAGATTTTTGAGCTGAAAATCCTAAACTTTGACTGAAACTTCCTGTTTCTGAAGGGGAGTTATCATTAGTTACAGTATGGTTACCATTAGTTACAGTATGGTTGTCATGAGTATCATTATGGTTACCACTGGTTACATTCTGGTTACTATTAGTAACATCTGGCCTGAAGCCTGCTGATAAATTAGATTCACTTTCACTACCGTCTCGTGACAAATTTAATGTCTTATTTCGCGATTTATTAATAGACTGATCCCCCTTTCTAGAAGACTTGTTGAAATTATCGTGATCTGATTGTCCAGTAGAGGGCGGTGATTCAGGGGCGGAGTCATATTGACCTGTACTGTCCCCTCCGTTATCTTCGTCATCACCGTATACATCATGATTCTCTTTCTCATGTTCTATGATTTCCTCCCTTGATCTGTTAAAATAATTTGTGTCTGACTTAAAATAATAAAATAAATATCATAGTTCAGCAACAAACAATTTCTAGATATTTGCCCCCTTTCATCTTAATAATAATAATTTTAACTTCAAGCAGAGGTACATGAAATCATACTATTCACTTTTTTGGGGGTTTATTGGTCAAAAATTGCAACAGATGACTAAGGGAAAACTTGTTATCAGATTAGACAGTAAATTTTAATACTTACACTAATAAGTTTTCAGTCCTGGAGTTGTCTTTCTTTCCAAAACTTATTTCATTATCATCAGAATCTAACAACTACAGGGGAAGAAAAATATAAAATGTTAAAAAAGAATTTTAATATTTGTTTGTAATAGGTTTTGAAAATGAACAAAAATATAAACTGAACCTGTATTGATGAGATATATATTTATTAAATATTAAATAATACCAAGATTTAGAAAAATAAATGATATGAACAGAGTTTTAAGTCTCCAAGCTTTAAAAGGTGAAGTAAAGAATTGGACAATGGGGTTTATAAAGATGTACTCACTGAAGACTGGTTAACAGATAAACAAATAGTACTGGATGATAATTCATGATCTGAAATATACACAGTTAGTTTTAATAACTATCAACGTAGAGGGAATCGATCTAACACAAGTCAGAAATCAACTTAATATCCAATTTTCACTGAGCCAATATCAGACAAATATAGTTGTTTAATTAAACAACAAGTGTACAGACAGGATCTCATTTCATAAAATATAGATTTGACAAGTTTCTTACCTGTAAAATAATCATCAAAAACCTCAAATCCCTTGTCATCTTTCCTGATATTTTTACCTAATCTAATAGGTTTTAATGTTCGTCTGAGAATATAAAATAGATGATCTTATTATAAAGACTGGTCTGTGATCATTTTTATATTTTATTCCATGGTTTATTTTATTGTTGTTAATATTTTAAAGTGGAAATGTAGGATCAAATGTCATGAAAATTATATATAATTGAAATGAAATGAATGGAGTTTTACGTCCTACTTTTCTACACCATGTGGGCTAATGAAGACGGATAACTCCATACAGTGTGCAATGAGGGAAATTTTGCCAGGACAGCTGCATAAGCCTGCTCTTTTTCGATTTCCAACTGTTGACAGATCTTTAACATGCACAGCCTGTAGCTTAAAAGAAAAACTCGATGTTAAATTTTGTTTTGATAAATAGAAATAAAACATACCGTCCTATATCTCGAACCATTCTAATACTCTATAATAGACAATATCAAAATATTAATATACGTTTAGTTTCCAACTTGGCGTTCTGAAGGTCAAAAAAACTAATATAATTTGGTTAATTTATGATTTAATAACACTGTCTAAGTGATAAAGACTGTATCCACATAAAAATATCATGAACAGACAAGATCACAACAATAGGTCTGACAGTCGTATTATAACATGGGCAGAATTATAAGTTACTTAAAGCTTACCCTATCTCCTTTATTTGTAGACTTCTGTGCCTTTTTAGTGGTGAGTTTCTTGCCTTTAGTTTTACTATCATCACTGGAGTTTTGTAGAAAACTTTTATTAGTATGTAAAGTATGATCTAACGTGATATTTATAGACGAATCAGATCCCGATATATTCCCACCAAAATAATCATCAAAATTCTCAAACCCATTTTTATCAACTCTTATCACTTTCCCAGCTCGGACATTCTTTCCTGTTCTCCTGAAAATTGATATGAATAACATGAAATGGAGTTTTACATCCTACGTCTGTAGGTTCTTGTTGATGGGGTCACAGGCTGTAATCTCGGTTCGTGTGTGATAGTCTGATGATCTTGAATAAGTCATCTTCACTCATTTCCAGTCGACCTAGCTGTACAGATAATCCGGGAAAGATCAATGCTAAGAGTCAAGGTAGACAGGATCCTGGTGAACCCATGTTGTTTTTTCTTATCAATATGAATCTGTTATTGTATGATTGACCTTTTGAGTAAGCCAGTTGGTTATATTAAGTTATAATCATATAACTGGAAGCTTAAGCTTATCTAGTGACATTACAATCAAATTTAAATGAAATAATCTGACAATTTTGTCACTTACCTTCCAATTTCCCATGGTTTAAATTCAGAGCCTTTAGCAGCTGAACGCTTCTGGAAAAGAAAATGGAAGATTATAAGGTTTGATTAGGCTATGGATTTCTGATTTGATTAAGTTAGGTATGGTTTGGGATATCTTGCCTTCAGCTACCATAGAGAGTAGAATCAAACTTGTGAATGGCGTGTAGAGCCTTGTAAGCAATAGTTCATCTTACAAATACAGGAGTTTTTCTCAATCTCTCTCTCATGCTATTTATTGACACTTGACGTGAATGAATGATTTCTAATCGTTAAAGTAATCTCAATGTCAATTTCATTTGAATTATTTTGTTGACATTTGCCCCACCCCCTCTTTTCACTTTTCAGTTTTTATGAGTCTGAGCTGTTTTATATTTGAAATATAGATCTAGCAGTCGAAGCAGGGGCTCTGTTCTGACTATGTGGAATTACCTTCGGAGGCATTTCGAGAATCACTTTGTAATTTAGGTGCGTAACAATTTCACATTTTCATAAAATCCAAAATCAAATCGCCGCCATTATTTTCAGCGCGCCGAAGTTATTCATAAAAACTCATTTCATTGGTCGAGATGGAGAAGTCTCTAAAATCAACCAATCAAATCCTTGTTCGCTATTCATTAAGTAGTCTCGATTTCTTATGTAATGTTTACGACAGATTCGACCTAATTGATTGTGTATATGACACATTCGACCTTATATGGATACATTCGACTTTATGGTTGCTCATCCATTTATAACACATTACATTTGACATTATTAGTTGTGTATAAACCACTGCAGATTAAATGTATATGAGAGGGGGTCCACTTCATAAATATAAGAGTTACATTCCAGAGTCTCCAAAGGGGTGTTCACTGCACAACATTTGTATCTAACCCTGATATTAATCTTAAACTGGGTCACTGTTATCTCTTTTTCACCAAGAAATTATATAATGTAGTGGGCACTATCTTATCAAGTCTTCCATTTTTAAAATCTAGTCAAGGCTCCTGAGAATCTAAGTTGCTTGTAAAATCATTGTCAAGAAGTTAAGCCAAAGACCAGCTGGTAGACAGGATCCTTGTAAACCTAAATTGTTATCCTTGTAAAAAATGGCTGTTCCTTTCTTTTGACTGTACCAGGTAGTTTCAACCATCAAATCCTAATATGTGAATATATATTTGAACAGAGCTCCTCCTGTGAATAATTCAAAAACAAGTTTCAATCTATTTTGTAACAAAGTTTAATCATAAAAAATAGTCAAATTTTAAAATTAACAAATGATAATCATACAGATAGAAATAAATATTTTAATATTATTTACAAAATCACCAATCTTTGTTACTAGTATAGGTGCCCTGTCACTATAGTGATTACTAGTTATGTATGGTCGTGAATAATGGTGTTGATATCCAAACACAACTTACAACTCAGTTACATGAGAGTTACATTTGAAACGTATGACCGCTATTCTTAGTTGAAACCCTACACAACTAGAAATAGCTATGGTGTGAGGGCCACCTGAAGATTTTAAAATAATACAAGTGCTGCTCCAGTATTGATTCTTATATTTAAATATTTCTGTTATAAATATTCAGACTTCCTAAAAAAGTATCGAAATAGAAGTCTCACTCATTTAACATTTATAACTAAACAAACTTAAACAAGCAGAAATCAAACTGGATAAAATCTCAGTGATGTTCCTCTTCGATTGGAAGAAATTGTCTTTCTGACACATACAACAATCTCCTACATTTCAGGATCTCCCAAGAATTTAGCAGCAACTGTACAACAGAATCAAATTATATATCAGAAGCAGCAACTGTACAACAGAATCAAATTATATATCAGAAGCAGAAACTGTACAACAGAATCAAATTATATATCAGAAGCAGAAACTGTACAACAGAATCAAATTATATATCAGAAGCAGAAACTTGCTGATGTTCTTTCAATTGCTAAATTTTGTTACTTATATAAAAAAAATATCACATGTGCTTTGACTCAGATCATAACAAATTAAATGATTTAGAAAACAAAGCTAAAATATCACAGCAGTTCACCTTTTAATTGATTTTTAATGTGAAATATACTCAAAATTTATAAGTTTTATATTCAATCTTCAGACAATGTTTATCAAAAATCAATGAAATAAAAATTAAAGTATGCAACAAGTACATACAGATATAAAATAACAAAAGTAGCCATGTTTCTGGATCCAGTGTTGATAGTTTTCAATTGAAAATAAAATAAAAGATTTTAGCAGCATAGTTTAAAATCTGAATTCAGTGACTCAGTGACTAATATAAATATTACAGTTGTCTTGGTTTTATTTCTAACTTGATATCAGATATAGTGTTGATCTGTTTTAATATCAAATAAAAGATTTTAGCAGCATTAAGGGAAGATTGGACAGGAATTCTGTTGTATATTTAAGACACTAGATAAATATTATAAAGTAAAGTTCATCTCCATTCTAAGAGGTAATAATCCTGTAGATATTGGTTCCAGTATTTATCGTGTTTCAAAGATGAAATCTCTCATTTCTCTGTCTCTAATGAAAGTTCTAGGTGCTCTGATTGTTGACTGGGTTGATTTAGAAACGTCGACTGGTGGTAGGGTAACTTTAGGTATAGATGAACTGAAACCAAAAATAATACAAGATTAAAAAAGGTTTTCTACATGCCATATTTCAACATCAAACAAAATTTCAAACCATTCCAATATGTCAATCATACACTCAGTAAAATTAAAACAATCTATACAGAGAAGATATGAAACAATTGTTTTAATTTCGAACAGTTATCTCATTAAACCTGTAAAAAATTTATTCTGGAATACAACATGCCAATTCTTATAAAATACAGTCATTCATCAAACAGAATTACATTTTCAAACCATTCCAATATTACAATCAAATTACAATCATTCAATTCATATCATTATTATCAAATCATTTAAAAACATATTTAATCAGACATCTATTATTATCAAATCATTTAAAAACATATTTAATCAGACATCCATTATTATCAAATCATTTAAAAACATATTTAATCAGACATCTATTCCAGTTCACAGAAAAAAAGAAGAAATAATGATTCAAATTCAAGAAATCATCTTAAAAAGAAATTCATTCCACTTCAAAAAGCCATTTCAATTCAAAAAGCCATTTCAATTCAAAAAGCCATTCCAATTCAAAAAGCCATTTCAATTCAAAGGGGAAGAAAAGTTGTTATTTCAATCTCAAATCCTCTCAAAAAACAGCCATTTATATTTATTTCAGACATCTATTCCAATTCAAACAGTGATTCCTCGTTTGATCACCCAGGAAGAGTGAAGTTTACTCACCAAATACAGTAAATCGTCAGTTATAATTCAGGTTCTTTATAAACCAGGTCGGAATGGTCTAAAAACATTAGGTGCAAACAACAAAACATTGGTCAGACAAACAAAACATTTCATCAAAACAAATTAGTGTAATATTAAAAACATTCAGTTAAATAATTGTCAGTGAAAGTTAATTCAAACAATTTAATTCTACAATTTTCTGTGGTTTATTTAAGTTTTATGTTATTAATTTTATTTTATCTGATATTTAGTTGTTTATTTATTTACGATATAAAAATAAAGATTAATTTTTAAATATATTCTTACTAGATGAAATAAAGATAATAATAAAACAGTAGGAAACATTCTAATACAGGAAATTCTACATGTTAATGATATCAAGACAGAAAACTAAAGAAGATTCTACTACAGTGGATTTTAATATTTAAAAGAAAATTTGTCTTAATAACGGTGTATGTTGAAATTAAACGAAACTAAAATTATTATGAAACACTAAAGAAGGTTTTAGATTAGAAATATTTGTGGTTGTATAATACCATGAAAGCTGGATGTAATTTGATTATAATTTGATAAGACAGAATCTCTTGAAATGTAAAATTGAAATTAGAAGGTAAACTGAATCTAAGGCGTAATATGATATAAGTTGATGTTAAGTGAAGGGTTAGTAAAAGTTTATGAGGTAAACATGCAGAGATATTAGTTAGTTAAAGTTATACACAAACACAAGAGAATACATGCAATGTTACAGTTACATAGAAATGAAATGAGATTCACAAATATAGTCAACAAAGATATTCTTACACAATAAAGTTTCTATTTTATTTTCGTAGAGTATAAATGCTATTTAAAATATATGAACCAAACCATGTTATATATAAGTAAAATAAATAGAAACTTAAACTGTCTTTACTACTTACACCTACAAATTAAAGTGTTTTTTTTTGTGGCCATGTTTTTGATTATCATCAAATAATATTCTGGCGTACAATCCAATCAAATCGCTGTATTTCTTAACACAAGAATAGGTGTATATTGTAGTCAAGGTATAAGACAAAGTTCGTAATAGCTTAACCAAATGTATAAGAATATAGTTATTTGAGTATAATTGAAATAACATGCTTAATGAAATTGATGAATAAAACAAAGCCAGATAAAAACATCAAGATATATTCCTATATTTAACACTTACAATGCAGTTTTAGTTCGGAATTCCTCGTTGGGATTATTTGGTAGTTGAAAATATTCCACAGGTTTCTGAGTTCCAGTTTTATCTGTATAAAATTCACGATGTTTCTGGGCCAACTGAAATAAAAAAATTTAATGATTAGTTTATCTCAGAAATTATAAACATGAATTGGTTTGATTGAAATCAAATTACAGGGTACCACTTTATCTATTCATAACTTATCTGCTTAGCCAGTAAATAAAACCATGTCAACAGCCCAACAAACTTCTAGAAGGTGACATTTCATCGAATCATGGGCTTCATAGAGGTTATAAAGCAAGGCACTTTTCATAATCATTAAAAGATAGGGCAGTAAAAAATGAATCTAATACAGTAAAAACCTAACTTCTTATATACCAGCTCAGCTAACAGGAAATTTCTAATTTGAAAAGAGATAGAACAAATTCTATAAGATATTTAAAATACCAACCCATCAACTTGTATACCGTAATAGATTAAAAAAACAACTTACCGTATCAAAACTTCTCAGTTCATCTCTTCTATCATAATCTACATTAGAAAGTTCGTATTTCGGAGCCAGAATCCAGCGATCTCTGTTTCTACATCTATTGCTAATAACTAGATCAGGATTATGAGTATAATAAGTAGGAAACTGACCACCACGACAATACGGATCTTTAGAACTGTTTAAAACTTGTGATCTATAATCTTGAAAATATTTATTTGTAGCGTTACCGTACGTTTCACCATAATCATATTTTATTGTAGGACAGTGACCCCGATATCTGTAATAAACAAAATTTCATAATTAAAAACAGCACAAGGCTTCAACTATAAAATTTTGAATCAAATCACCATTAGATAGAACACAGGCTTAGATATTTAACTATCAACACAGTAATCTGTTGGTCTCAACTTCATATGTAATTAATTGGAGAGAAAGAAAATATAGATACAAGACTGAAATAGTCTAGTTCAGACAGTTGTCCAGTTGTCTGAAGATCGAACAGAAACTCTGGGTAACAACATGGTTCAGGTTCTGTTTTAAAATTTCTAAAGACAATGACAAATGATGAATTTACAATGAAAAATGGTCACTTGATATTTGATGCACTTGATGACTTACAATTAAGCCTACTTGATTCTTGCCATTTATTTGTTTTTGGCTTGTCATTTTATTTGCAGAAATGGAAAAGTGAAAAGTGATAAAAGGACCACAATGTGAGAGAGTTTTTACTTACCCAGGCATAAATCTCGGAGGAATATAAGTGGCATTATGAGTAGTAACTAGAGTTCCAGCTGATCGCGACATGTTGATAATAAATTATGACACAATCTGTCGAGAAACTGAAATTTATTGAATTGTTGCCGTCACAATCAACTTATTATTTACATGCCATCTCACTCAGTTATAATTCATCCGCCAATGAAATAGTTCTAGAGAAATCTGAAACGTCATTTCCAACTGACCTACAAAATTATAACTTTCTTTAAAAAATATTCCAATGTAGCTTTCACATAAATATTTTGGATTGAAAAAATACTAAATCAAATGAAATTCATGGAAATTAAAATAAATAGGAACTATCTATGTAGAAATACAAGATGGAGTGTTACTATGGTAATATATCGAAGGGAGATAATAGATTCTATAGTAGTTTGTAAAATGGAGTTATTTCCCTTCAACTGTAAACTGAACAATTTAATCAACGGGATAAAAATTCAAAGATTTGTTCAATGATTTGGAGTATTTCTTTGAAAGACTTCCATTATGACTAATGTTTCATACTTTTAGTCAGTTAAACTCAAGTTCAAGCTATAGGCCTCTACTTGCAGTAAACATGATGCACAGTTGAAGATAAAGCCATGCAGTGTATAATGGGGGAAATTTTGCAGGACAGTATCAAATTTTAATTTGATTATCAGATGTCAATGCGAATGACATGTATAACTGTAAATATATAGCCTCACTAGTATCACCTTTCATCCAATCAGATTTATTTTTCATAAACAAGAAACTTGACTTTTTATATATTCAGTTTATTATTTCTAGAAATACAATGAAATTTTTAAATAACAAATCACATGAGTAGAAGATTTATGAAATGGTTGGATCTCTCTGCATTCTAACTTGACACATATAAAAATTGTCTTTGTAGTTATTTCATTGGCTTCAGGGAAAAATTATGACATGTTTATTTTTAGCACAATATTAAGTTTATAATAAACTTTAAGCTCAAGTCAAACCAGATTTAACCGTTGTCTTTATTGTCAATCTCTCCTAATGATATAAACAACACCTCTCTTAGTTTCAGTACAATACACTATGTAAAGTTTGTTTGATGTTTTATCTTGAACCACAAACTCGTGTTAATGTATACGGATTATAGTCACTGAGAAAAATAATTTCATCTAAACCTTTCTTTGTTTTAGCTGAAATAAACAAACAAAAAAATAAAATTATGTCAAAAATCTGAACATAAAAGTTAATTGTACATTAATACACAACTGATAAATCAATGTTTAAATAACATTTAGAATTAAACAGAACAATAGATGAATAATAACATTATAGATATACTACATCTTTCTTTAATTTAAACAAAACAAACTTGTGTCAAAATTCTCAAAATAAAAATTAATAGTTCACAAACTTTTATTATATTATCATAAATAAGATATTTTACACACAATGAAATAAACAGAGTTTTAGAATTTTTGAGGAACCAAGAGCCCCACTTCCAAAAATAAACACTCCCCCCTCCTCACCGATATGGCTAAGAGAGAAATAGAACCTCAATATAAAACCTACATGAAGGATGTTGAAGCCAGTTATAATCTTGATAATATTGTAAACAATTATACATTTCTTTTGTGTTATATTTTGTTACTAAAACTGGTATAAACGGATCTAGACATTCAAATCCCTGAAATATATAGAAATATATCATTATATAGAGTGAACAAACATTTGGAATAACATCAAAAACAAAACCAGTTCACTTACTATCATTCTTTATTTTATACACCTGGACATACCAACTTTCATATTCTTGTGTTTTTATGGTGTTCGATATGAGCCTGAATAAATAGGTGGACTATAAAGTGTTTATAGATGAATTTAACACTTAATCTACTAGTTTTTGAATAAACTTCTTGGTATCCATTTTTTCCCAGATTACTAATACCTATTTACAACTGAATAGACTGGTATAATAGTTTATCAATAGATTTATTGTTTTGATTTATTGTTTTGATGTTAGAATTAACCTACCTTTTTGCCTAAAACAAAATTTGGTGTGTAACTTCCTCGTAGTCCTGGTTCATTGGCCAATTCATCGATAGTACCCACAATAAAACCATTAGTCTGAAAAATACACAGAAACATTATTGTTTAGATCTTATTCAAGATTTTCATTCTTACTAAATATTTTAGATTGATAGAGGTTGAGGGACAACATTCGGCACAAAAATGAAAATTTATATAATGTATTTTTTCAATTAAGATGCCCTCGCCACGTATCTTCGAAATGATCTTTGAGCTAGGTTGTCCTAGTATCCTTAATAAAGCTTTAAGTAAAGATAAGACAGAAAAAATGTGACCATAAGGTACTGAAGTGTTTTCGGCAATTAGTCGTAACGTTAACTAACAGGACAATAGTATATACTGTTTCTAAGATCATTTCGCCTGGATTCAATCCCCCTTCAAGGTGAAAAAAACATTGATGCCAAGAGTCAGCCAAATGTTGTTTTAACCCCTGTCTCCTAGGCAGAGGAGGTGAGGCTCAACCTATTACAGAGCTGTGTCCTCTAAGAGAAATAATAAAATATAATCTCACCCAATTTGTCTGAATTATTTTTCTAAAACTTCTGATTAACGTGATATCTTCATTCATAATCTAGAATTAAATATTATAATTATTTCTTAGATCAAAACGGTATTAGGGCTAATAGGAACTTTGCCAACTGGCAGCCTCTTTTTAATAAAAATATTAGGCAGTACAGTCACAATTACCAGTATGAAATATTCAACCTTCAGTCATACACTTCTTTTAAACATTTGTGGTTTTCAGTGGGCTCGTCTATAAGTCAGTGATAAGTAATTTCGTCTTAATCTGTCATGAAATTTGTCCTGTAAAGTTCCCCAGTTCCTCTGTTAGTACTGTATAATGAAATATATTAGGTATTTATGAAACTTACAAGTTTTTTATTTTCGTTCCTCATGACACATTCTCTAAATAAACCGTTAATACCATCTACTGATACTAAAACTTTAATTCTACAAGATATAATATATATTATTACTTATATATCACCTAAATAAACCATTAATACTATCTACTGATACTAAAACTTTAATTCTACAAGATATAATATATATTATTACTTATATATCACCTAAATAAACCATTAATACTATCTACTGATACTAAAACTTTAATTCTACAAGATATAATATATATTATTACTTATATATCACCTAAATAAACCATTAATACCATCTACTGATACTAAAACTTTAATTCTACAAGATATAATATATATTATTACTTATATATCACCTAAATAAACCATTAATACCATCTACTGATACTAAAACTTTAATTCTACAAGATATAATATATATTATTACTTATATATCACCTAAATAAACCATTAATACTATCTACTGATACTAAAACTTTAATTCTACAAGATATAATATATATTATTACTTATATATCACCTAAATAAACCATTAATACTATCTACTGATACTAAAACTTTAATTCTACAAGATATAATATATACTATTACTTATATATCACCTAAATAAACCATTAATACTATCTGCTGATACTAAAACTTTAATTCTACAAGATATAATATATATTATTACTTATATATCACCTAAATAAACCATTAATACTATCTACTGATACTAAAACTTTAATTCTACAAAAAATAATATATATTATTACTTATATATCACCTAAATAAACCATTAATACCATCTACTGATACTAAAACTTTAATTCTACAAGATATAATATATATTATTACTTATATATCACCTAAATAAACCATTAATACTATCTACTGATACTAAAACTTTAATTCTACAAGATATAATATATATTATTACTTATATATCACCTAAATAAACCATTAATACTATCTACTGATACTAAAACTTTAATTCTACAAGATATAATATATATTATTACTTATATATCACCTAAATAAACCATTAATACTATCTACTGATACTAAAACTTTAATTCTACAAGATATAATATATATTATTACTTATATATCACCTAAATAAACCATTAATACTATCTACTGATACTAAAACTTTAATTCTACAAGATATAATATATATTATTACTTATATATCACTTAAATAAACCATTAATACTATCTACTGATACTAAAACTTTAATTCTACAAGATATAATATATATTATTACTTATATATCACCTAAATAAACCATTAATACCATCTACTGATACTAAAACTTTAATTCTACAAGATATAATATATATTATTACTTATATATCACCTAAATAAACCATTAATACTATCTGCTGATACTAAAACTTTAATTCTACAAGATATAATATATATTATTACTTATATATCACCTAAATAAACCATTAATACTATCTACTGATACTAAAACTTTAATTCTACAAGATATAATATATATTATTACTTATATATCACCTAAATAAACCATTAATACTATCTACTGATACTAAAACTTTAATTCTACAAGATATAATATATATTATTACTTATATATCACCTAAATAAACCATTAATACCATCTACTGATACTAAAACTTTAATTCTACAAGATATAATATATATTATTACTTATATATCACCTAAATAAACCATTAATACCATCTACTGATACTAAAACTTTAATTCTACAAGATATAATATATATTATTACTTATATATCACCTAAATAAACCATTAATACTATCTACTGATACTAAAACTTTAATTCTACAAGATATAATATATATTATTACTTATATATCACCTAAATAAACCATTAATACTATCTACTGATACTAAAACTTTAATTCTACAAGATATAATATATATTAATTGTTGTTGTATAAAGCTGTGTCTATATATATTGTGTTTAGATAGTTTAGTGTTCCAATCATCTGACTGCTCAATCCCTAGAACAGGACATGTTCTCCATCTGTTTGACCAATCCTACCTTAGTCTCACAAATTCGAATTTTTTAGTTAATCAGTAATAGTGTTCACAGCTCACCATCGAAGTTTGACCCTTCAAATCCATGTGTGTCCAAAATTATCCATGTTTGAATGTTAAAAAGACAAGTCATCTCTTTTGAGACACTGAGATATATAAAAAAAGACATCTATAGAAATAGGAAAAGAAATTTCTAGTTTGAGATATTTTTGAAGGAATTATGCAATTAATGATCTTTTCTAGTGTTTCTGAAGACTATTTACAAATATTCAAGACTCAAATCCATCCCCGTAAATGCAAACCAATCCTTTTAAGTTTAGTATTATCAACCAATCCAAACTCTATGATAAAACTAAGTTGCACAACAACTCTTAAATAACTCACTTTTTATCACAAGCCAGTTTTTTAATTTCTCGTAATAAAATGGCCACACAATCAGAAGCATACGTGTTACGATTGATACACTGAAAAACAAATAAGATGAAATGAAGTCGATAGTCTTAACTTTTCTGTAACAGTTTTGACTGATGCAATGAGTAAAACTGTCAAGGGATATTTATCACACAGGGCCTCGGTTTATTTCCCACCTGCACGATAAGACACTTTATCCATGTCAAGCCCCTCTTACCTACATCACTGACATGAGTTGAAAAATCTAACGGTTTTATCTCGACCTATGCTGGTATTGAACGCTTGTCAAACAGTGTTCGGAAGAGTGCCAAGATATATGGTGAATAAAAAAAACTTACGAATTCTACCAGCTCAGAGAAAGACGTTCCTGCTGGTGATGATTCTCTTTTATTCCAAATACAATCTTTACTAATCTAAAAATAAACACTTTTTCTAGAAATTTCACTTTCTATTTCTATAGATGTCTTTTCTATATTTCTATAGATGTCTTTTCTATATTTCTATAGATGTCTTTTCTATATTTCTATAGATGTCTTTTCTATATTTCTATAGATGTCTTTTCTATATTCTGGACACACCTAGATTTGAAGGCTCAAATTTTGACAGTGAGATGTGAACACTGTTAGTGATTAGCTCAACTAAAAAATTCCTGTTTTTGATAATAAAGTATGATTGGTCGCTTTAAGATTTACTGAGACGAGTCGTAATGAAAACAGAGAAAAAGATAAGCTTGAAATATCAGGAGATCTCATCTTGATCTATCTATTTTTACCAACCTTTAAATCTTTCAGAAGATGAGAATTTTGAGATTGAAATTGAATCAACCATTCCATGGCGTCTTTAGGATGATCAATTCTACCATCTTTATAAGTTGATGCTTCGTACCCAGTATAACTCTGAACTAACGCAGACGCTGAAAAATAAACAAATTTCACTTTTATACCTTATACCAAATAACCAAATAATCAATACTCAAAATTTCAATACTAACTTCAATAGATGAAAATTAACACTTGACTCAGTTGACTGTTTGTATTTGTTTACAGGATTAATCACATCAATACATGATGTTAATATTTTGAAAACTTAATTTTTGGATGATTTTAGTATTCAAGTCATCTGATTCGTCAAGCACTAAAATTAATCATAAATTTAGTTTTATTATTCAATCAGATCACTGAATTTCTTAAAATCTAATTTTTCAAGCAAAAGGCTCCCTGCTGACACATATACATAATATACATAATCAAAATCATGTTCAGGAAAGTTTTAGAAATGGCTGTCTAGGATTAGATTTAAGACTAATAAGAGAAAATAATTAAAACTTACGAAATCTAATATTGACGATTAAAAAGCCAGCTTTACCACAATAATGTATCACATGACTTAAACTCGTAGATTTACCACAACCATTTCGTCCATCTTGTTTCAAAGTTAAGGATTAAAATATTTATGACAACACGTGTCTCGATTAACACAGCAAAGATTACATAGTCTCCAGTTTAGTCAGTAAGTTTTTAACTGGACTAAAATGGTTGATTATTTCTGACTTATCATATCAGAAGGAATTCGGTCAAATGGACTAGCCTGGTTAGACTATTGTAATTAATATTTAAAGGATACAGAAAAAAGCTTTAACAACAGGTTTATTAAGATCTACATGTTGAATATAATCAATCATCTCTAACGCTGGTCTTCTTACCATCAAACTACAGTTATTTAATACACCTGTCTTAAATATACCAATAATTACTATACATAATTAACTAGTTGAACATACAGTGATTAGATCTTCTAGTTTAACTACTTTATCTAGGAAAGATCAATGCCATGAGGTTTGGCCAAGGATCAGTTGGTAGACTAGAACTGTGTGAACTAATTTTGATGAGACATGTGCCCCAGTCACTGTACCCTCATAAAAATGAAGTGAAATGGAATTTGATTTCCTACTTTTCTTCACCTGATTAGGGAAATAAATACAGGCAAATTTTACAGATTTTGATTTCCAATTGTCGAGAGATCTTTTATGTGCAAAGCCTGTAGCACATGAGGCCTCCGTTTATTGTCCCATCCGAACAACCAGTCGCCCATGTCAGCCCCTCTGACGTGCCCTCATATGACGTAGAAAATTTTTTAATACTTACCAATCTAACAAATTCTCTATGTAGCGACCATTTTAAATATTTATCAAATTCAGCTCTTGGTATATCATAAAATAAACCTTCTTGATCTACACTCAGTTTCAACTGAAATATAAAAAAACGATAAAAATAACAAATATATCTCAGTCTAAATAAAATTAGACCAAACTTTCGTTTCACAAGCTTTTATTTCTAATATAGCCACCTCAGTTGGGGTCTAAAGACAGCCCTCTTGAACATTAATCTGTTTGACGATAGCCCCAATCAAATTTCTACCCTCTCCAATGCTGAGATTTTGTGACGTGAACAAAATATGTGTTTTCCGACAAGCATTAGAGACTGATTTCACCTTTTGTTCGTAAAGATAACGCAATGGCAAGTTACCATTCATTCAATACTTACCGGATCATTATCATGGCATTTATACGTAACTTTAATATTTCTGTTAAATTCTAACTGGGCCTCGGTCTGTAATCGGGTGTTGTTAGAAAAACATCTGATGTTTGGTGAATTTTTTATTATTTTAGTTTCTGGGCAGCATTCTGAAATACAACATGCAACAGTTTCTGTCAAAGAGACAAAGATAAAGATAAAGTTTAACTACATGATGCCTAAAAGATATATTTTGATTAGATAGGCTACAGTCTGTCAGCTTCAATCAAGCCCTTTTTCTCCACATTATACAAAGAAGCAGAAACAGAGCTTATTATTTGCACACCAAAGCATGCCAGCACAATATAAATCAAAACTTGTTTATCAAAGACTGACAAAACCGGAATGCTTCAAAAAATGAAAACAAGTTAATAATTGGGCGTCTTGGTACCAGAAGGTAAGGGCGATTTGGCATGACCTGGACCAATATTGACATTGAAGAAAATTGATAAAATGGGAAAAATTCACCTCTGATCACTAAAACAGTGTAAAATATTTAAGTGTTTAATGCATTTAAGCGACAACTGTAATGTGTACCTTGTTTCAGGTTGCATAATTGAGGAGATTTGTGAATTTTTCGGAATAATCGCCCAAGCACTTGCAGTTTTTGCATTTTCAAGGGCGCATCCATCTTGGATTTTGATGATTCATGGGAAATTATTTCATTCCAAATTTTTCCTCTAAAAACTCTTTTTTGAAAAAGGTAAGAAATTTGATTAGTAAAATATTTTGAAATTCAAGCTAAAAGTGATCAAATGAGGTAGTTGGGTCAAAATATTTCCTCAAAGTCGACCAAAACAAGCATCAAATCGAAAGGAAAAAATGACTCATTTCCACACCATTAATGCACAGCACTTAATTGTTCTTCTATAATGATTTGACATGTCATAAAATGGAAAAATTTTGACATTAATTGAATTATTCCACAAAATTCCACGCAAATATTTAGAGAATTTGCTATCGACAAAAGTGGAAATTCTAAACCTTGACCGTGAGAATTCCCTGTCGAATTTCTGTAGTAGACGCCATTTTGTTTTTGATTTAGTTATGGCGTATTAGCCTGTGTTGGCTTTTTCCTAAAAATTTACTGGAATAGTATCATTTACTGTTATTTCCCGCAGGTGAGTGTCTTTCAGTGATATGTCCACCTTCTTGTTTTATGAATAAGTCGTTTGGTGCCAAAAGGACAATGCATTGTCTTCATTTTGGCGCGTTATTTTGGAAGAAAACACATCTCACAAATCACAAGCTTGCAAATTGTTTTCATTCGGTCAAGCGACGAAAAGAGACGTAAGATGATCATTTCACCTTGATTGTGTGCATTTGCCATGCTTCTAACCAACTGACCTATAATTCCAATATGAATTTTTCTAAAATTCTCAAGGAAGAAGGTTCATTGTTTTGTTTTTGGAGAAATTTTAGTTTGTTGACATTGAGAAATTATTGTGGTTTCACTGCTGACTGGTCAATTTGTAGGTCAAAGCAATTATGGCCTCTACAGGTGTTAATCTGGTTGATCATTGGCCATGATGGACAGGATCTAAACATGGCTAATTGATTCAATCAACTTACACTGGGAATGGAATTACATATTTACACCTTTACTGATTGATCCAATTCATAATATTTTTTGACCTAGTTGGAAGTATTTTTTGGGGATTTTGAAATGAAAATGATCTAAGATGAAATGTATCAAAATTGAAATCTTTTTATAAAATGAAATGTAACCTGCATATTGTGAAACAACTTTTGGATTCTTTGCTGGTGTTTTCTGTTGTGAGAAATGTTGTATTATTTAACAATTATGTTCCAAATTTATGTTTTTAGCTTACATTTTTGACTTCATTTTCTCTGAATTTTGAAAATTTGGGTATTCTTTTCAGATTAGGCTGTAATAAGATTCATGATTACAGTAGAAGAGAAAAGAATTAGGAACTACAGATTGGAAGCCACTAGTTGTTGGCTGGCTGGAGGAGAGGAGAGATGAATGAATGTAGAAAGGATTGTACTGATGAAGACAGTTCTTCTGTGTGTTATTCTTCAACCAGCGATTGTGATTCGGAACCGGACGTTCCCGGACAGTCTCATGATAAGATATTCTCCGTACAGCAAACTAGTGGATATAATGAGGGCCAACTTAAATTGACCTTCTCAATGAAAGAAAGTAAAGGCGATGATGTAGAACAAGAGAGTAATATATTGTTTACTTCCCCTCAGACTACAGTTAATCCACCTGTTATTGTCAGTGCTCTACCAGTGCTAAATGTAAGTTTCGTTAACAAATTGTTTGTAATGGTAAAGAGGTTTTCTACATTTTTAATGTGTATTTGGGAATTATGCTTTATCACATAAAGCCCTTCATAATTAGTGACATCATAAAACACTTCGTTTTTGTGGAATTGCAGGAACCAGAGTCATCTGATCGAAAATTGGATGGTACAAATTGATGGTATCAGTGTCCCCGATACACTTAAGAAATTTGAAAACCTCTTTAAAATTGTTTCTTAGATTGTTTTCAGTATAGTATGAACACTGAAATATTCAATACCACATACGAAAGAGATGTAGGGTAGTGGTGTCCATCCCTTTTAATTTCCACCCCTTGTGGTTTCCTCCATTTATTATTCATCCTGTCTATTAAGGGTGTGTTCCTCAGGTTTAAGCCTCAATTTAGGTGAAAACTACAATGTAATGTTAACATGTTTTAGTTGGAAATGATGATGGTAGAAACAAAAGTAAACAGATAGATCCAAATTATTTCTGAATTAAATTTTATGGTCGTGACATTTGAATGTATTTCCTTTATTACAAGTTAACATTGTTTATGTACCTGTGGTAACTGAATATAATTTTGGTCTAATTTCAGCCTGAAGTCCACGTTCCTGTTAGAAATGAAGTCACGATTCCACCCATGGATCAGAATTCATTGAAAGGAAAAACTCAGAGTAGAAATGTATTTGATAGCAGTGCTAATTGGTTGTGTCCTACTAGTTCAGGATCCAGTCAGGATACACGACTACCTTCAACATCATCATCCAAGCCTTACCAACTAGCCAGTTATAAACAAACTAAACATCGTGATAACTCAAACGCTAAAAGTGGTTCCGAATCAGACCGTGAATATTCAGGAGATTGTGCCACAGATACGGAATCCACCTCGACTAAAATCAGTGATATATTTCTCGCACCAGGATCTAATCGGAGTTATTTTTCTACGGATGAGGATGTTGACGATCGTTCACGTTTATCAAAACATCGTCGTCATTTAGACGGCGCTGAACAACTGTTAAAATTGGATAGCATGCCTAATGTGTCTCCTGATAGTGGAATACAATCTATAGGCGGGTCCCCATCTGGTAACGATTCTCCAGAATCAGTTTCGCACGGAGATACTGGAATTAATGTTATTCATGAAACACAAATAGAATGTCGTACAGATATTAACATCAATAAAACAGTGTCTAATTACGTTCAAGAAGTGCGGAAAGTTTCTCTGGCGTCTGAATCAGATCTATCTATGAAATATTCAGAACCTGTTCAAACTATGTCTCCTATAAAATCAACGACGACAGTGACAACAAGTTGTAATGTTGAGGATAAAAAGGTAACAAGTTCTAGTAAGAGTTGTGAAAAAAGACATTCTGAGAAATGTCAAGGAGATGTGTCGCGTCCGAGTGTCGGTCGTCCTCCGAAACGAAAAAAGTTTGAATATCTCAGTAAATATAAAAAAAGTACTTTATACTCCAACGTGGATAGTTCAACATCATTGATAAACGTACAGACAGATATCAATAGAAATATGTTCCCTGAACCCTCTCCTTTACGGAACGATGTTTTTGATGGACCTAGTACATCAACTGGTCCGTTGAATAACGATTCAGTGTCGAACTCACCCGTTAAAAAACGTGGTCCAGGTAGACCGAAAGGTTCGCGGAATAAATTTCCATCAAAGAAAAAAATTCATTCAGTGTTAAAAGTGAAAGGTTCTCAAAAAACAAAAGTGAAGGGAAAACCAGGTCGGAAAAAGAAAATATTCGGGAATAATTTACAAGCTGGAAATATGTTGGGACAAAATGGTGAAATAAAGATAAAACGTGGGCCAGGGCGACCCCGTAAAAACCCATTACCCCCACCCACATTGGGTTCTCCCAATCAGCAAGATAAAAGACTTGCTTCTGATTCAGAGTTCTCTTCTCTAATACAAAGTGTAACAAATAATATTCAGAAACAGTTCGATACTCGCCGTGAGTTTTCCTTCGGTACTAGTGCTAAAAATTTGCATAACTTTAAATCACAATCCAGTCCTTCCAAGTCTCCCTCAAAACCAACATCAAAAGTGCGGAAACCAAAACTCCATGTCATGATGAGACATAAAAAGCGAAAAAGAAAAAAGAAATTCGCGAAACAAAGTATGGGAGGTTTTGGAGGTTTCCCTGCTAAAAACACGAACTCATCTTTTGCGAAAATCAAACCTGCACGTATGGCAAAACCATTATCATTGTCCTCATCATTTTTATCTTTTACTACCCCAGCTAGTTCTAGTTCTAGCACAATTAAACCAGCTTTATTTGACTCTATGAAATTCAGGGCTCCCGTTTCCGACACCATCGTTGAGCCAAGTCCCACAAATGTGTTCTCATTTGCATATCAAAATCAGGACTGTGAATCGAAAAAGAAGCGAAATAAAAAACTGTTATATTTTCGATCAAAGCATAAGAATATCATCGATCCTGTTTTAAATGCAAATTATTATGAGATGATGAATTCGATGGAGAAACTTGCCATCTCGGAAAAACCTGAAGAGAATTATATTCGCGTTCGTCCGGGAGAAGTTTTACTCCCAAGTATTTTCAGACTTACAAAAATTAACGTTAAAAAGAAAAAGAAGGAGAAAGTGGTTGTTGAAAAACCAAAGAAAACCAAAATACCCAAAGAACTTTATGAGCCTTTATTAATGAAAGAGAAAGGCAAGCCAGGGAGAAAGAAATCCACAAGTATATCTGAAGAGATTCCAACTGTTTTAGAAGATCACACTCATGATATACAAGCAGCCATACATCAGCAATGTTTACCACCAAAGAAAAGACATAAAATGACAATGTACACAAATTCCTCACCCCCCTTGCCGTCAACTAAAGATAGCAGTCCGGGGACAGGAGTTACCCCTACCCCAGAAAAACGAAAAGTTGGGCGTCCTAGAAAATACCCTCTACCTACACCAAAACCAAAGGAATCACCTTCAACAAATACAAGTAAGTTTAAATTTATTCTGTTCAATATGTTTCTACTGTTTTTCACTGTAGCAGGTGGCCCAGAAAGTGCTAAAACAAAAATCCTTTCTACTAAATGAACTTGAAATAGAGAACAAAAAAAAAAAGTCTTAACGTACCTTAAAAAGGTAAAAAAAAAAAAAGTGATATTGAACTAAATATTAATTATGTAGTTTATATTAAAAAGGTAAAAAAGACTGACTAGCGTGTTTATAAATGAGTCTAGTGACCTAGTTTAATAGTGAACAGACAATAAGTTCTATACAATTTATAGTCAAGTATAAAAACCAGTGAACATCTGTCCTTCATATTATTTTACTCCTGTTCTCTCTTACTTAAACATTCCTTCATACTGTTTATTCACATATTGTTCTTTTGATGTTTTCAAAAACATGTCATAGGCCATTGCCCTTTCCTTGTTTCTTAGTCAAACTTGGTTGGTTGGTTTATTAACAATTTAATGTCAGCTTCCAGTTAAAGTTGATATATTGCAGACAAATTTTGTCCCCTTTATTTATAACATTATAACGTAGGACTACTACGGTACTTCAAAATTTTACAAAGGTGAAATAATGAATTGAAAATATCAAAATCAAGTATACACTGATACGATACAGAACATAAGATAAACAACTTCATCTTCATTAGCCCAATAATCTAGGACACTTACTTTCTTTAATTAGCCCAATAATCTAGGACACTTACTTTCTTTAATTAGCCCAATAAGGTAGGGTGTTCATTAGCCCAGAAAACTCTACACCTGATGATAGGGAGCCACAGTGGCTTAGTGAGTTAGACGCTTGCTCGTTAACCTGAAGGTCCCAGTTACAATCCTGGCATAGGTCGAGATAATATATTTGGATTGAAAAAGTGTCTAGTGGATGGGACAATAATACAAGGTCCCCGTGTAATACAATCCTGGCATAGGTTGAGATAATATATTTGGATTGAAAAAGTGTCTAGTGGATGGGACAATAATACAAGGTCCCCGTGTAATACAATCCTGGCATAGGTTGAGATAATATATTTGGATTGAAAAAGTGTCTAGTGGATGGGACAATAATACAAGGTCCCCGTGTAATACAATCCTGGCATAGGTTGAGATAATATATTTGGATTGAAAAAGTGTCTATTGGATGGGACAATAATACAAGGTCCCCGTGTAATACAATCCTGGCATAGGTTGAGATAATATATTTGGATTGAAAAAGTGTCTAGTGGATGGGACAATAATACAAGGTCCCCGTGTAATACAATCCTGGCATAGGTTGAGATAATATATTTGGATTGAAAAAGTGTCTAGTGGATGGGACAATAATACAAGGTCCCCGTGTAATACAATCCTGGCATAGGTTGAGATAATATATTTGGATTGAAAAAGTGTCTAGTGGATGGGACAATAATACAAGGTCCCCGTGTAATACAATCCTGGCATAGGTTGAGATAATATATTTGGATTGAAAAAGTGTCTATTGGATGGGACAATAATACAAGGTCCCCGTGTAATACAAACCTGGCATAGGTTGAGATAATATATTTGGATTGAAAAAGTGTCTAGTGGATGGGACAATAATACAAGGTCCCCGTGTAATACAAACCTGGCATAGGTTGAGATAATATATTTGGATTGAAAAAGTGTCTAGTGGATGGGACAATAATACAAGGTCCCCGTGTAATACAATCCTGGCATAGGTTGAGATAATATATTTGGATTGAAAAAGTGTCTATTGGATGGGACAATAATACAAGGTCCCCGTGTAATACAATCCTGGCATAGGTTGAGATAATATATTTGGATTGAAAAAGTGTCTAGTGGATGGGACAATAATACAAGGTCCCCGTGTAATACAAACCTGGCATAGGTTGAGATAATATATTTGGATTGAAAAAGTGTCTATTGGATGGGTCAATAATACAAGGTCCCAGTTACAATCCTGGCATAGGTTGAGATAATATATTTGGATTGAAAAAGTGTCTATTGGATGGGACAATAATACAAGGTCCCCGTGTAATACAATCCTGGCATAGGTTGAGATAATATATTTGGATTGAAAAAGTGTCTAGTGGATGGGACAATAATACAAGGTCCCCGTGTAATACAATCCTGGCATAGGTTGAGATAATATATTTGGATTGAAAAAGTGTCTAGTGGATGGGACAATAATACAAGGCCCCCGTGTAATACAATCCTGGCATAGGTTGAGATAATATATTTGGATTGAAAAAGTGTCTATTGGATGGGACAATAATACAAGGCCCCCGTGTAATACAATCCTGGCATAGGTTGAGATAATATATTTGGATTGAAAAAGTGTCTAGTGGATGGGACA